TGGTGACATCTGAGAGCCTTGCCAGATGCCAAGATCTTACTCAGGCAGAGGAGGGGGAAGGACACCACCAATAGAAGCAGCAGTTTGTACAAAAGTTTGGCTCACATGTGGCCATGTGGATGTGTTGGTTAGGGGTGGTGGCAGAAGGGGAAGCTGGCAAGATAGTTGGGTGAGGTCACAAAGGACACGAGGCCTCTCCCAAGCACTGGGACTTTATTTGGTGATGGGGAGCAGTGAGGAAGGATTTTAAGCAGAGGAATTCCAGGAAAGGATTTATCTGCTGGAAAGATCAGTCTTGAAGGGGTGTGGAGGAGAGACTAGAGGGGAGGCTGCAAATGGAGGCAGAGAAGCCTCTGGCCAGGGGGTTAGCTGCAGGAGGCATGGGGGGAGGAGGTGGTGTTTGAATGGAGGCCTGAATTAATCCAGAGGATATGGGGAGGAAGGAAAAGAAACATAGATATATTAAGGAACTAGAATGTATAAAACGTGGAGATTTTTTTTAACGTGTTGGGAGTTGTCATTAAATGATAGTCTGTTGTGGGGATCAGGGAATGCTTATTTGGCTAAATAAATCTTAAAACTTGAAGACTGTTTCTCAAATTGAGGTCACATCATCTCCTTGCAGGTCTCAGGCACACTTCTGGGTTGTTCACGCTGCCTCATGCACTGGAGACTTTAGACCCCAAGCAAGCTGTGGTGGCAGCAGTGCTGCTCCTGCTTTACAGATAACCAAAGAAGCGACTCTTTTTAAAAACCATTTACTACTTCCCACCTCACCAGCCCTACGATCCTTTTCCTGGCGGTGATCTGCCTAGACTTCTACTAGCAATGATGTTTGTTGGCCATCCACTGTGTATTTATCTCGTCCCTTAACTTCTACTAATCACAGCTTTCTTATCTTCTGATTAAACATAAGCATTAGAAGCAGAGGAAGACAGGGGCTAGAGACATCTCCTCAGCAGCTACTTGCCATGAGACCAGGAAGAGAGGACTCCAGCCACCTCTGGCTGGTTTGTCCTGCCCAGAAACCTAAGAATTAACTTCTTATTTGATAAATCATTCTGTGGGATGATGATTGTGTCTGAGAGTTTCAGAAGTCTAGCAATAGACACCCTCTGCTGATTGAGAATGACCTATAGGCCCACCCCTTACCAAGCCATCCACGTGCCAGAGATGGGGTCCTGAGTGCTTCACAAAGTTAAAGGAACACAGTGCTTGTCCTCTGGGAGCTCAGCATCTGGAAGCAAACCTGTAGATGTAGAAACTGGCAAGAAGACTTTAGAGCCAGTATCTACCTTCAGTTACTAATATCTGTAGTAGGATTTGGGTTGAGGTGCTGCTCTGGAGTCACGGCCTGGTGTTAGTAGTCTTGAGAGCTAGCACTGGCCGGGCATGGTGGCTCACACCTATAATCCTAGCACTCTGGGCGGCCAAGACAGGTAGATAGCTTGAGTTCAAGATTTTGAGACCAGCCTGAGCAAGAGCAAGACCTGTCTCTACCAAAAACAGAAAAAATAAAAATAGAGCGCTAGCTAATACTAACATACTTGACTCTGAAGATTTAAGGTAAAGTGTAGTGGTTGAAAGCCTGGGTTCTGGGGTCTGATTTCCTGGTTCTGCCACTTACAGATGCCGTTTTGTCCAAATTGCTTCATCTCTGTGCTTCCCTTCATTATTGGGGAATGAGGATCTTAATAGTGTCTACCTAGGATTGCTGAGGGGATTGAATGACAAGTATATGTGACATGCTTAGCACACCTTCTGACGCAGTGCCAGTGCACAGTAGACACTCGCTGTGGACCTTTCCAGAAACCAAGGGGAAGCCTCGGAAGGCTCAGCTGAGAAAGGCATGCTGTGTGGGTACCAGGGATTGTGGCTTTCCTTCCCTTGAGCACTGGTACAGTTAACCCAGAGGTCGTTTAAGTTTTTAGTTACAAAGAGAAGTCTGGGACTTGCCTTCCTCAGGACAAGTTAGTCTTTTGAGTTTTCAGTTTAACTCTTTGATCACATCACAGTGATCAGTTGTCACTTCAGCACACTTCCAGAGACAAGTTTGAAGGCCAGCATGTGGCGGGTCACTCCGTACAGGAGTCCCAGGCATCCTGGCCACTCTCACCTTTCCCCTGGTGCCCACCATCTCCCTCATCCTTTAACACACATTAACTAAGCAGAACAGACAGCTCCCATCCTCCTGAAGTTTACAGTCGCATAAAAGTATATGTGGACAAATCCAATCCACTATGATGCAAGCCCAAATGCCAGGGAAGTTTAGAAAAGGTATCCAAAAAGGACCGTAAGGAAGGCTTCACAGAGGTGGGGATGTTTCATTAAGGTTTTGAAGGGAGTAGGAACAGGGATAGTCAGCAGATCAGCATGTTTGTGCTGGACCACAGGTGCGTGGGGATGTGGTAGGAGATGAAACTGACGTAGGTAGGAGCTAGATCCCGTCAGAGCTGGCCTTTATCATGGGAACATTGGGGGCCATTGAGGGACTTTGGGCAACAGAATGTCAGAAGATTCACATTTTTGCAGGATCACCCTAGTATGAAAGACGAACTTGGAAGGGACATTAGAGATGCTGGCAGGTTCATGTCACCAAAGCAGATTCATTGGGGGCAGGGACAGAGTCTCTATCCCTAAGTTTAGTACATTATAGACATTTAAGAAATGTTTTGGAAGGGAGACACAGCCCCAGCTGAATTTTCCAATTCTGCATCCTATCCTCAGAACATGCTGACCTGGCCCTCCATCTGTCACAAGCAGCTTGACTGAGATCCTAATAAATTCCTTTTCCTTGGCATTCTTTTAACTGGCACTCTCTGTTTACTAGCCCCTCTGTGCAACTGTAGTGTGTGATGATTGATGCTTATAATTCTGACCCTGAAGTACTCCATGCCTTCTAAATCACACAAAAAAAGATTAAAGTATTTAGTATCTCAGCGATGTTTGTGAGTTTTACTGCATTCTTATCCTCTGGAAAGTGACAGTTCATTGAGTGCCTGTGCACTGTGTGCACACAGCACAGTGAGAGTCATGGTTACCTGCAGCCCTTTACACCCTCACAGTGCTGGGTGCAAGGAAGGTGTGCTCGAAAATAGATGAGCAAAATAGCCTGTGTTCTCTTCATGCCTGGGGGAAGCAGGTTGGCCCCAAAGACCCAGAATGGACCAAGATGAGAGTGAAAGTGGTGATTAGGAAGGCAGAGGGAGTGACAGAACAGAACCGTGCAAACAGGGCATCAGGCAGTTGACAAGCGAGCCAAGGCTGCATCCCAGCCCCCGCAGGAGCAAAGCTCAGGGCTGGGACTGCCTCGGCCCAAATCATCAGGCTTGGATCTGGCAGGATTCTCCACCAGCTATATTTGTATTGCAGTAATAACTGTTCAGTAAGATGCCAAACATTAGCAAGTGAAAACATAAATAATTAGAGCATCCTGTTCCCCACACACATCTTTTCTTGAAAACCTTTATTGCTGCAGAACTGACAACATTATTAGGCTCAGAATGAAGAAGTCTGAATAGAAGCTGAGATGGCTCCACGTTGTCACCTGGGTTCAGAAACAGAGGGCTGTGATGGTGTCTACAGAAGGGAGGCCTGTTTAAGTTTTCTTTGGGGAGGGGTGTTGTATATGTCAGTAAGTAAAGATGTCTTTTATGTTTTGTCATACAGATTTGTTCTTGAAATATGTGGGTTTGGTTGGCCCTCATCATCCCAGCCCAGAGAGCCAGTCCCTGAACCACAAAGGTCCTCTTTGCCACCCTCTAGGCAAGGACCCGTGTGGGCTATATGGTGACCTTTACACTTGCCAACTCCATGAATCTAGGCAAGTCTTTTAGTCTTTCTGAGTCTCAGTGTTTTGTTCTGTTTTGTTTTGTTTTTTAATCTGACATATTGGAATAATTTAAATTCTTTCTTTACAGGATTGCTATGATGCTGAAATAAAATGGTGGGTGTGAAACTGCTTAACTAGAACACCTTATCCATATAAGTAATGGTATACTAAATACACCAAAGAACATCGCAAATATTCTAATTAATTATAGAAAGATGTTTCATCAGCAAACATATCCTCCTTAGAAATCTCCCCAAAGTGAAATGAACTGTGGAGTTTCTCTGTTGGGCAGGAGTTCTAGCTATGACCGTCCACTCAGCACGGTGGATATTAAATCCCTGTTTCAGACCTGGGGAAACCGAGGCTCCTAGTCACATGTATAACAGCAGTGGGGTTTGGACCCGACTTGAGACCTTACTCTTTCTCCTGTATCGCGCCATCTGCAGGTGTCTGTATAGTTCAAACCCCCAACGTTCTCACAAGCTGTGTGCGTCCTGTGGGGCTGGGAAGTTTGTTCACCACTTCTTGGTCCTTCACTTCTAAAAGAGAGGCCGGGTGGGGTCCAGAAGGCACTGGAGGTCTGAGTGCCCCTGGGGAGAGCAGCGGCACAGGGCGGGCCAGCGTGGGGGGCAGACACGCAGTCTGGGGCTCCACCTCAGGGAGGTGGCCAGGCAGGGACTGAAAACCAAGAGGCGGCTGTGCCACACGTCTCAGGCCTTGAGGAAGTGACTGCGGCCCTGCTGTCTTCAGAAGTGCCTTCCTTTTCTGTCAAGGTGAAGCAGCCCCTCTTCAGAACCCCCTCTTGGGAATCAGTGCCAGTCCCTGGTGCTGTATCCAGGGAGAGCGATCGGGTTTATTCTATGGAGTCATTCATCTAAGCTTTTCTGGGACTCTTCCTGTTAACTTTGATGCCAGGCGTTAGAGGAGAGGGTCCCCTGTGTGGCAGTTCATTAAGTGCCCAGTGGGACCCACTGCTGCATGCATTTTCTTTTTATAGGATGTCCTTGATTCACAGACAGTCGGCGTGTGAACTGGAGCTGCCCACCCAGAGAAGCAGAGCTAATGCCTGATGGAGGCACGCTGAATATTCAGTGAGGATGTCAGCATGTGGGAGAAGCGTCTGTTCAGCCTGTGGTTCTGAGAGGAACTGTGTGTCGTGTTCCCATAGGTCCTCAACAGGAGGTGTGTAGAAGCGGCCGTGATGACAGGCCTGGCTCTGAACTGCCACATAAACAAGAAGTCCTTGTTTGACAGGAAGCACTACTTCTACGCAGACCTCCCTGTGAGTATGCTTTGTGACCCAGCCCTGGTAAGTTCTCAGAGCTGGGCCAGCCCTGCCGTGGGGGGTGCAGGCGAGGGAGAGGGGCTGTGCCTCTGGTGGTTCCCTTCCTGCTCTGTCTGTCTCAGCAGGGCGCTGTGCTGCGCCTGACGGAGGCAGGTGCCCCCCACATTCACCAGATTCGATGCAATTGTCCTGATTGCTGACTCCTTGCTCAGCCTCATGTTCTGGTGGCTTGCTCATAATTGCACGGGGAGTAGAAGCCAGTGTTCTCGGGCTCAGCCCAGCCGTGGTGGTATTTGGTGCTAATTGCCTGTTAGCACAAAAGCTAGCTCTGTGGCTGAATCGACAGCAGATGCATACTGTAGCTCTCTGTGGGCACAGTGAGAGCGTCTCACTTTCAACTTGAAGTTCCCGTAATAGGGCTATCTCCACTGGAGACATTTCTGTCATCTCACAAGGAGCAAGTAAGTGGACAACAGTAAGCAGAAACATGAACCAGAAACCTGGGCCAACAGCCATAATTGGCTGAGCAATGAACTCAATATTTGCCTACTTTTTTCTTAAAATTAAAAAGTTGTTTTCTTCAAGTCATGCCAGTGTGAATGAGGGCCAATTTTTCATACTATTGAGCTGGAACGGAACTGAGATGTTGAATGGGTTTCCCAGAATAATGTTGCATTTGGTCTGAGCCTCTAATAGTGTGACTCTCCTTTGGATTTGGAAAAACAGCAGTGAGAATATCGTTTCACTTCCTTCTCCTCGGACCGAAGATTGGGGTGAGCTGTTTTTCAGAGGGTTAGGCAGGAGGAGAATGTAAAGATGCATACACAGGTGGAAGCAGAATTCTCCACTTGCTTTCTGCTTTCCCCCTCTGGCTACCAGCCTTTCAGCCAGGCTACTGCTTGGTAGGCTGGGAAGACTTAACTGCATTTCCTCATCTTTTAAAAGCGACAGACACTTGGGTTAAGGCAAGCGACTTAGCAGTGTGTGACTAAAATGAGATGATTTGTTAATCTCTGGCTTTCTGTTCTTTCTGGCCCAGATAGTTCAGATACCAATTGAGAGTTGGTATCACCAAATAATTGCACGAGAAATACCAAAGTATTTGCTGTTAGTCTGAAATTCAGATTTAGCTGGGCATCCTGTATTTTATCTGGCAGCCCCTAGCCAGTTTAGTTCTACAAACAGAGGCTTCCTATCTCTGCCTAGGAAATGAGTTAGCCTCGTGCTAAAGTTGGTCCCCAAGGCACTGACCTCTCCTGGGAAGGAGAGATATGAATACTCAGCCCCACTGCCCCCCACCCCAGACCTACTGAATCAGAAACCCTTGAGTTAGAGCCAAGTGGGCTGTGCTTTGACAGGCGCACTGGTATTTCCAATGTAACTAAAGTTTAAAGACTACTGTTTGGCCTAGTGCTGGGAGCAGACTCCAGGGTCAGAGCATGTGAGTTCAGATGCTGACATTGATGTTTGCTAGCTCTGTGTATGTCTTTGGACAAGGCAATGAACCCCCCTGTGCCTGGTATCTCCTTCATAGGTTGTTGTGGGATCACTGGGTGTGACACTGAGAACAGCATCTGGGACCCAGCAGGTGCTGCAGACACCTTGGTTGACACTCTTTTCTCTGCTGCTCCTCAATGACTTGTGTCTTCGTTGGTGTTGACCCATGTGTTATGTTGTAATTCCTCCTTTCCACTTAGAAGGTGAGGGAGCCCTTGCGAGATCCAGCAGTGTTTGAGTACTGTGTGCTTTCCAGTAACTGAGTGTGAGGGTCACAGGAGTTTCTGGCTAGAAGAGCCAGGGAAGTTGGGTCAGGGAGGGCAGCTGGCATGACTGGTTCACTTAAAGAACAGAAATAAAACAGATTGAAACACCCTGGCAGCTGCTGGTGGCTGTGTGAGAGAAGATGGCACAGTGCTTAGCCAGCGGGTTCCTGATCAGGAGGGTCTGCAAGGAGCCCAGTAACAAGATACGGGGTTTGGGCAAATGAGCTAAATGGAAACAATAAATGCTTCTCTTAGGGGCCCCTGACAGGGAGATTATTGTAATTCCCCAAACCAACGCTTGAATAGGGGCGATGGGGTTCTTGTGGTTTTCTGTTGTAATTGGGAGTGGTATCTCGGGGAGGGCGAGGGCCCGCCCCCAGAGCGGGAGCAGCCAGGGTGCGCTGCTGCTGCTGGGCGGCAGCGTGTGAACTGATTGTTCTTCTCCTTTTCCTTTTGTCCTTTTTATTTGGCTTGTAAGTGAGCCTGTAGTAGTGTGACATTAAAAGAAATAGGAAACTGGATCCCCATTTCCATTCATGGCACAGTGAGTGTGTAACCCATGTTTGTTTGCAGGCGGGCTACCAGATTACCCAGCACAGGCTCCCGATTGCCGTGAATGGCAGCCTGGCGTACAGCAGTTGTGCGGGGACGAAGCAGAGTCAGATGACCACCAGGACAGTCAGGGTGAAGCAGATCCAGCTGGAGCAGGACAGTGGCAAGAGCCTCCATGATGACCTGCGCTCCCAGACACTCATTGATTTGAATAGGGCGGGTAGGCTTGGAGTGTTTTCATTACATCATCTTCCACCCCCTCAGTTCTTGGGTTTTAGGCAACTTTATTCCCCCTAGACTTTTCCTAAACTAAGTGAGAAAGCAGGCACTGGAGCCTGACAGATGGAATCAGAATAGCAGCACTGGCTTTGGCATAGCTGCTAGTGAGCATGGCTTGAACTGTGATTACTGTTGGGCTTGTCAGTACTGCACCCCTAAAATTAGACAAACTTACCCACCCAGTCCCGTGATAACTTAGGCAGATATTAAAAGAAACAAACCAAAGCTGAAAAGTGAAAAGTGAGAGGAAATAGAGACATCATTGAAAGGCTAAAATCCCTTTGAGTCCTTCCGCCATGCAGGGCTTTCCTGAGACTGTAGCCCAGTTTGTCTGTGGCTGTGACTGGAGCTCCAGTCAGGCTGACTCTGCTTCTCTCTGGTAGGAATTGGCCTTCTGGAATTGGTCCTGGAGCCTGACGTGTCCTGTGGAGAAGAGGCAGCAACAGCTGTGAGGGAGCTGCAGCTGATCCTCCAAGCGCTGGGCACCAGCCACGCAGGCATGGCAGGTAGAGAGCACGGGAGCAGGGCCCTGGTATGTGGTGTGCTCTGACTTCAGTTTTTTGTTTTCTGATATCAGTCACATTGATGTTGTTTATAACCCACCTCCCCACCCCCAGTCTTTTTGCACTCCTGATTGTTTGTTTGTTTTCCTTAGAATTTTCCCTGGATTCTTTTCTGAGCCCCAAACCAAATGTAAACACACAACAACAGTGCAGGGTCACTGAGCCCATAAGGAAATAATGGGTTTGAACAGTTTGGTCCTTCTCCGCAAGAAGACGCTGTACTTACTGGGAATAATCTCAGCTTGTGAGTTCTGTACTCCTCTAGGTAGCTCTGAGTTGCTAGTTGCTGATTTTCTTTTTGGTTGCTTCTTTTCCTTCTTTTGTAGAATTTTCATCCATGTATAGCCAATTTATATCAACTGTAAGTCAAGATTATGAATACATGAAACTTTGAGATAAAATCTTAAATTCAGTAGAAATATAGTAGGAAACTAAAACAGAAGAAATAGTTGTATCCGGGGAGCCAAACCAACTATACATTTTAAGTGTCTGTAAACTGACTGTGAAGATCACCAGTGTCAGTCAAGTGCAGTTTCTTCTTGGTGTGCTCTCTTGACTCTGGCCTGAGGCTGCTTTGCCCTCCCTTTAGTCCCCGAAGGCTGGTCTCTCCCCATGATTTTTCCCTATTTTCTGTTCCCAGGGACTTTAAAAAAATTTCTGCCACCCTTAGGGCATTCCCTGATGGAGGGGGACAGAATTCAGGTTCTAAGTATATACTTGTATTTTTCCCTGGCACAGGTAGTCATAGTGGGCACCTGGGAAATGACATCAGTGGTGATGTTCCTCTCCCTGCTATTGTATATTATTATTTACCAACCTTAGCATGTCACATAATATAATTGCATGGTACAGAGGGACTTCTGGATCCATCATGCCACGTTTGTCACATAAGACGTTTTACAAGCAACAAATTGTAATGATAACATTGGAGCCCTGATACAAGTTGGTTCTGAAGACAGACCTTGCTTATTTGCTCTCTGCTTTCAGCTACAGTCTGGCAAAGCACAGCCACATGAGTTTGAATGGCACAAGGTTAGCTGCCTACAGTCTGCTTTATAGAGATGCCGCTCTCTGTTTAAGAGAATTCTCCAGTTTAGATTTATCACTCATGCTGGTTTGTTTTTTTTTTTAACCCACGGAACATAAATGAAATATGAGCAGGTTGGATGGTTATCCATTTATGTTCCAAGTGTTGATTCTCTATTGCTTTAAGAAAGTTTTTATTATCCCATTCTTCTTTAAAATAACTGTGATTCTTACCAACCCTATGGGATAATAAATAAGGCCACCTGTTAGCTGAGAAATACGCCCGTCTGGGTCTTTGCCAAGAGATAAACCATAATGGCAAGAACTCATCAGTCAGTGACAGCTGAGAGTGTTCATTAAATCTCATTTGTTGTGACATTTTTTTTGTTTCTTTTAAATACAAATGCAACAGCTTTGCTTCCAGCAAAGCAGCCGAGTGGCTTTGGTTGTTCTAAAGTGCTACGGAGAGCTCAGGTCTGCCTCAAGTCTCCAGGAGGCCAGCTTCTTGGTGCTGGTGGTGGTTATCAGCCCCATCTCCTTTGCCCATTCTTCTGTCCCATCCCCATAGGAGCTCTGTTGTTGGCATCAGAGCCTGCACAGCCCAGGAGGTAAAGGCCACCCTGAAGAGGTGGCATGGAGCACTAGTGGACACCCAGGGTGCTTTTGGAATGAGGCCTAAATTGTTCTGGGCTGTGATTCAGTGAGTTCCTGATAGTTTTGCTAATGAGCATGGACCAGCCCAGCCGGGTTCCAAGTCATTTCCTTCTCAGTGGACAGCGTTTTGCCACCATTGAGGAGATCCTTGAAGCAGTTTGTGGAGCTAAATGTACAGACGTAGACATAATAAACGTTTCAGCACTAATAATACCTGCCAGTTGGAACATTTCACTGCCAGTTCACTAAGCATTTTCAAATTAATTTAGTGTCTCATTTAAACTTTCTGACATTTCTGAGAAATAGGTGGTATTACACCTTTCTGCAGGTGAGGAAACTGAAGCTATGTCAGGTTATTTACCCAAGGGTCACAAGAAGCGACAGAGCTGGGATGGCTGCTCTTTGGGCCCAAGTGTGTCCAGTTCCTGTAAGCACAGCATCATACCACTTCCTAGGGGCAGCCACAGAGCTCCACTGAGGCAGCGTGGCGGGGCGTGGGTGCGGAGGGCTCTGGGGTCCCAGGCCTGGGTCGGAATCCTGTCACTTCTAGAAGCGTAGGCACGTTCATTTGATTTCTCCGAGCCTCACTTTCCACACTTAGAAAAGCAACTCCCCAAATATTAATAATTGTGTAGAGAGAGAAAAGAAGAAACCAAAGAGGAAAAGAAGTCATCAGATGGGCAGCTGCGTGAGAGGAGCGGCTCCAGGAGGAAATCTGGAGTTCCGTTTTGGATGTGTTAAGTTTAAAATGCCTCAGGAATGTCTAAGTGGCTTTGTCATTAAACTGTATCACAGGGGTGAATGTAATAATGTGTGTAAGACTTAGCACAGGGCCTGGCAAATAGCCCCTGCTGGGCAGATGTTACGTGCCTTCATTAACTATAATAAGCAGTGGTAGTTTTATGGAATCGCCACTCATCTGGATGAGTCAGCTTTGTGAAATTCATGCAATAAAATTTGGTCACATTATTTTTTAAGTCAAACCTTGTTATTTAAGTTTTGGAGAGGATTCAACAACAGAACAAGACGGCTCAATAGACCTTCCTGCCATATTCTCAGGACCCTGCTGTTTGCAGAAACAGTTTTCTGTCCTGATGTTGTATTACTGTCGTGTGAATGTGTCTTGGAGAAAAATCTGTAACTGCACTATATCGCTGTGCTCAGCGGTATAGTTTTTTAGTTTTGCCGTTACAAATCTCTGCTTCTAGAAGGCAGAAATTGAGTTGATAACATTCTCGTGATGTGCGAGTGAAGGCTCTCCCTCAGTGGCCCAGAATGCGCCGAAGTAAACCTAACTGGTAAAGCTTTTGTGCACTTGAGGCAATTTAACTTAATTTGTTTAAAAGGTATTTTGTCTTCACTGGATGGCAGGTCTTTTGTTAATGTTTGATACTACGTCTGAATCCAGGCTAGCGAACTCTCTTTCAACACCGCAGGACATTAAATGATTCCTCTCCGATATTTATGTAGTACGGTCTTCTCTGGGAGAGACTGAAATTCATGCTTTTATTCCTTTTCCAAATTAGAATTCTAAATGGTGAAAGACGGTCTCATTTTCAAAACCAGGTGAGGTCCAATTCATGTTCCCTGAGTTCAAAGAAAGTTGTCTCCCAAGTATTGAGATTTGGTGGAGCAGAGCTCAGGGTACTTTAGAAGATTTTCTTTGAGCTTAATGGGCCTTTCAGGTGATTCCAGCTGTAGATTATTAGTCCTGTTCAGACAGAATTTTAGAACTTATGAGGAGCCTACTGTGGGATAGAAACCCATCTGCTTCCTTGTTTGGAAAATACCAGTTTGAGCATTTGTTATACAGTAAAGTTTAATTTACTGAACAGTCACTGCGTACCAACCAGAGCTCAAGGTTCTAGGTTCTAAAAAAGACATTATCCCTGCCATGTAGAGCTTATCTTCATGAGGGAGACATTTGCATTAACAAAATAATTATAGTGACAAGTACTTCAGGGAAATAAGTGGGGTGCCTTAACAGAATAACACGAGAAGTTGGTGATGCTGTTTTTAAGGCTCCTCCACGTAGGCGATGTTTACTTAAAACCTGAAGAGTGAGTCATGGTGTAGGCAGCTTAGAGTGTGTGGGGGGCGGTTTCCAGGAAGCTGCCGAGGGCCAGGCCCTGAGATGAGGGGGCAGAATATGAGGTCAGTGAGGTGACACAAGGCCACTGTGGGAAGCCGAGGCAGCAGTAACGTCAGAGGACTCTGGAAAGGTAGGCAAGGCGTAGATTACAGCTAACAGCAAGAAGTTTAGGTTCTAGTCCCAGTGCAGTGGGAAGTCAGTGAAAGCTTTTTAGTAAGGGAATGATGTAGTCTGATTAATGTTTTAGAAAACCACTCTGACAGATCTGTGGGAAGTGGGTTTCAGAAGGGAACTGTGGACTCCAGGAAGCCAGTGAAGAGCTTTTGCAGCAGCTGAGGGGTAGGACGGTGCTCTTTTGGACCCTGCTGGTGGCAGTGAAGATGGAGAGATGGGAGATGCAAGATGGTTTTTAGAAATAAGAGGATTTTATTTTATTTTGAGTTTTTATTTTATTTTTTTAAACTTTATTCAGATTAACATGCGGGTGCAATTTTTAGGTTACATTGTTTTCACTTAAATAACAGGATTTTAGAATTAACAGGCTGGTGTAGGAGGGAAGAGACAGGAAGAAGGGCGCATGGCTTCAGGGAATTTTGAGAAGCTGTGTTGGTGCTATTTACTGAGACTGGAAGATAAGGACAAGATTATCTTTGAGAAGAGCAAATCAGGATTCAGTTTTGGAAA